GGGGGGAAGGAAGAGGCAGGAACAAAGTCTCATTATACAGACTCATCATCGAAAAATGCTACTTTATTTGTTAGTGTATCCTTCTCCTAACTAAATTACTATCTCACTGTGGACAAACTTATTCTGCTTCCCCATTCCCAGTGGCTTGTAATCCAGAGATATTTTCTGTATAATTGAGGACTACCCCAACTCTGGGAGTATGAGTTCCCAGTCCCCTGTTTTCTTCACTAAGGTAGACAGCAGATGGGGCTTTTAGCTGAGCCTTATAACATACAGAAATGCTCAGCTGAGACTTAAAGTTCTCCTGTCTAGTCTTTACACTTACAGAAGGAGAAATTGTGTGTCTCTCTCCAGCTCACATAGATGAGGTTCCCATAGCACCAGAACTAGGACTTAGACCAGCACTTGCAGGTCTCATCCACAGAGATCCAGACCCCGAGGGCTTGTTGGAATGCTCAGACCGTAGGGAACCTGCGCTGGCCTGCTTTGGACATGCAAGGGCCATCACAAAGCTATTGGGAGAGTGTGAGCTAATGTCATCTCTCACTGTGTGTCAGACCGCGCACTGAGCGAGGTGTCTGAGATTCTCAGAATGTCTCTTTGAGGCTAGTACGGTTATACTCACCACCTTAAAGAGGAGGAAACCGAGGCACAGAGAAGTTACATATCTGCCCAAGATTAACAGCTAATCAGAGGCACAGCAGAGCTCGAATCAGTTTTCTTGATCCTAACACAGTACTGCCTCTAACACTAGAAGTACCTTCTCAGATAAGGACAGGCATGCCCATTTTAATTATCCTAACTGGAAATATGCAGGCTATCAAGAAAAACTCACAATAACTAAGAAATAATTTTTTCAAACAGTAATACAAATCAGGAGTTGGCAAACTTTTTATAAAAACAGTGCGATAGCAACTACTTCAGGATTCACCAGATTCCCTGTTGCATCAATTCAACTTTGCCATTACAGTGGGACAGCAGCCACTGGGTAAGGCCCAATACCTTGAGGAGCCGTCAGGTATCTTCAGACAGTATACAACTACTGAGTGTGGCTGTGTTCCAATAATACTTTACTTACTGAGGCAGGTGGCAGGATGGATTTTCCCCTCAGCCTGTAGCTTGCTAAACTGTGATCTGCATGAGCCTCGCGATGCTCAGAGTGTAGTGAACTAGAGTGCTTCAATTGCCAGCATGAATGACCGTCATAACAACAGTTAGCCTGGATGCTTAGAATTTAATCATAAGCAGATTTTATTGACATCTCCTATGACTCTGCCCCTTGGTAAGCGCATTCGTTCCATTGCTTGGCATAGCCTATATCCCCAAGGGCAGTAATCTGAATCCTAGCACCTCGACTACAGCTTTGTTCAAGGTAGAGACTAGTCTCTCGGTGTGTTCAGTTAGTCTGAACTGTATAGCTCATTTGAGGAGTAAGTTCAAAGAGTGTTTTCTACTTTGTTCTCCATAGTTTCTAAATGTGGCATTTTTGTAATGTACCTGTACATCCTGCTACTTACACACATTAGGACGAACATAGGACTTTCTGGGACTGGTGATTGTGTTGAACACACGTGTTCTAGTGTCAATCTGTTTTATTTTGAGCAAAGACAGATGTTCACAGGAGTCAGTCTTGAACAGGGTTGACAAATTTATATCATAGCAGATGCCTTTCACCAATTCAAATGAGATGTAGTTTTTGTTTTTGTATTATTAGTAGCAGTATTTTTACAACAGCTTACTCTGGTATCTCTCTACTGTGTTCAGTATCATCTGAAAAGATGGGCAAACATTTGAAAGATTGATTAATTCTATTTCTTTAAGGAGTTTAAGCAAGGGATTATTCTACTCTATTCATTTGTTCACTTTTTGAGACAAATAAATGTAGCAAGCTCATGAGCCTGATGTAGCAGAACTTTTGAAGACTTGTTTTTTTTTTTCACAAGCTCATGAGCCTTATGTAGCAGAACTTTTGAAGACATGTTTTTTTCAAGAAGTAGGTACTTATTTATTTGTTTATTTTTAGTTTTTTGTCATAGGGCATGTGTGCTCCCCAGAGAGAGACAGAGAGGAAGAGAGAAATCACCCTCCCCTCATAGGGGGATGACTACACCACACTCCTTCCCCTGCATTCTCCTCTGAGGATTTTAGGCATGCAGGCATATGAACCCAGTGTGATTTTCCAGCTACCAGTCCGGGACTTGAACTTTGGTGGACCATATGGAAATGTGGTGCCTTATCCACCAGAATCGGTGGCCCCAGTATTTATCCTATGCATAATGGAAAAGTGTTCTTTACTTTAATAGCAATGATGTACAAGTTAAAACGCTGACGAAGAAAGTAATGGTAAGCTATCTATGGGACTTTATACACTTGGGAAAGCAAATTTCAGAATTATGTATTTAATGTAATTCCATTCCTTTTAAAAGTATACACATACACACACAGTCTCTATGTATGAGTTCAGGTTTCTTATAAAGTCTACTAAAAAATTTATGAGTGTATGCTAAACTGTAAAGAGAGGTGACCTCTGGGGTTGAGGGTATTTGTAGTTTGCCGGACTTATGTTCATTATCTCACATTTTCAGTAGTATTATTTTTACAATTATAAAAATAAAAAAGTGGATAAATGTACTGAATATTCATAGGGACAATATGTGTTAGAAGGGGATCTACCGAAGACAAATACCATGGCATTTGATGAAGTCTTTTATAGTATATTTTTGATAAGTAATTTACAGAGGTGAAATAAGACCAGAGATAAAAAAGGGGATCCACCGAAGACAAATACCATTGCATTTGCATCTACCAAAGACAAATATCATTGGCATTTGATGAAGTCTTTTATAATATATTTTTGATAAGTAATTTACAGAGGTGAAATAAGACCAGAGATAAAATTTTACATACTGCTTTTTCACTTATTATAATACGGTGACTTCCTCTTATGGTTACAAATTGTTAATAAATTTCATTTTAATGTATACATAATATTCCATCATGTAAAGCACTACAGTATAATTTACTGATCTTGTTTTGCTGGATGTGTTGTTTCCAGGTGACAAAAACTATAGACCAGGCTGAAATGAGCACAAGTGGGGAGGTGCAGACATTCCATACACCTGGGTACTGGGACTACCATCTAGCTTTGTGCAGATCATAATGCCAAGTCTCTTGTGAAGAGAAGAAATTTAGTACATAAAGAACATGATTCATAAATGATAGCAATTATAAGAAAGTTTTTAAAATTAGGGTTAATTCGTTAGATCAGAATAGCTATAGTCAATTTATTATTTCAAAACCAAGAAGCTTTGATCAGTCTGCCAGTTGGCTTTGTAAATGTATTGCAGATATTTATAGCACACTAATAGCACGTTTGTTTGTTTTGCTAAAACCTCTCATTGACCATCATTACATTTTTCTTGTCAATTTAATAATATTCTTTTTTTATGCTTCATTGTTTACTCATTATGTTATTTTCTAAAGTGATAACTAGCTGTTATTCTGAGAAGGGGAGGGACAAGCATGTGAGTGAGGGTTATTTGTCCATAATTTATACCTGTTTAGCTATTGAGACTCATAATTTTCTTACAGATGTTAAGACTTAATTTTAAAGTTATTAATTCTTCATTGTTATTTTTTCCCTATTTTATTTGCCTATTAACTTTATTCTTTGAAGTTTAAAGAAGCTTACTTAGGTGATGTCAAATTTTTCCTCATAATTGTTTCAATTAGTGCTTAGAAATTTAATAAATCATTTTTTCTGATTTTAGTACAAATACTCTTTTCTTAAACTTTTTTTGTTTTACTTTTCACGAGAAAAGGAAAGGGAGAGAGGGAAAGACACCCTTTCAACTTACTCCCACACCACATTCTCCTCACCCGCCTCCCTCAGCATTCCCAGCCAGGCAGGATCTTAGACTTTCACATCCTCTGTGTACAGGTCACCTGGGGAACTGAACGTCTGATCTTCTGTAAAGATCCAGCTTTGCTTGAGCAGTGCGTTACCACTGTGCCACTGAGCAGTCAAAAATATTCAGCCCTTTAATTGAG